TGACTTGCGGCTTGTGAGCGCGCGACGTGTGGCTTACCGGTGGGGGCCTCCTCGGATTAAAATAATTTTTTCGTATTTTTTTGGTCCAGATTCGCGAATTTCTAGAAAATGATTTATAGGGGTGGGGATTTGTAGAGGCAGCTCAATATCCAGCCGTCCCTACAAATAGTGAGTCGCCCCTACAAATCCGATTTATAGAGGCGGTTGGTCAGCCGTCCTTACAAATCGGCATTTGTAGCCACCCTTTGGTAGGGGCAGTTGGCAAAACCGTCCTTACAAATCATCAGAAGCCGTCCCTACAAAGAATATCTGTAGTAGTGTCCTGTCGTAGTACTGCGACGGCTACACCATGTTCGGCCCGGTCTACAAGACCGACGGCTTCGGGTTCGTCTTCCCGATGGGCAGCCTGCTGACGCGCGGACGTGTCGTGCGTGGTCCTGACGCTGGCGGAAGGTGAGGAGATGGCGCAGATCGAGAAGAAGTGGTTCGGCGAGCAGGGTAAGTGCCCTAGCACAAGAAAGGGTAAGCTTGTGAAATAAATATAAAACGAAGGGGTATTCTACAAAATATAAATATAAAACGAAGGGGTATTGACTCTTCATGCACCACTGATCAAAGTTTTAGACCTAAAAATATACTTTCAAACCTGATGGATCAAATTGACACACCATTACACGTTAATGAACTATCTATGTATTTTACTTTATTAATATTAGCCCTGTGGTGTGGCCCTCGGGACAGCGATCCTAAAATGAGCCAAAATGCGTCAGCTAGTGTGCAGCCAGCACCTACGGTAATCTACCACTTACACATTGTAAATATAAAGCCTGTTCACTTTTTGTTTCAGCCAGGGCTTATCAGCCAACAGTGTTTTCCTCTCACAACAAACCAGCACTAACCGGACTTATCAGCTCAGAAATCAACTAGCGAACAGGCTTATATAAATAAATTATCACGTGGCGACTAATTTCAGCCGAAAAATTATTGGGCAGCTGAAAGAAAAATCTGGAGTGGCTGAAAAATTAACGACCTGTGTGCCATGGCGGCCCCCCAATTAAAACTCGGTTCATCGGGCTGCGATCGATCGCCGAATAAACTCTGCGGAGTGAACGCGAGTCCATGGGAAGTTATCCCGGACACGACGGCAAAACGCGCCTCGGTCGACACCACGTCCCGGCACACGATCAAACCATTCCATTCCCGTCGTTACACGTACCTTCCCCCTCCCGCTCCCACTCCATGCACCTCACCAATCAATCACCATAGCCGCCCCCGCCCGGCGCCCGCTTGCCTTCCGTCCCCTTCCCTCCCTTCAAAACCCCGCATGCCTCCCTGACAGGTGACTCTCTCTCCAGTCTCGCCGAAGATGCAGGGTGACGCCGACGACGACGGCCACTACTTCTTCTTCAGCGCGCCGGCGAGCCCCGTGCACTACATCCTCCGCTCCCCGCCCTCCTCCACCGCCGCCGCCGCCTCGTCCCCTTACTTCGCCGATGCCGACTGCTGCGCGGCCGCCGCCGCCGCCGCAGGGGACTTCGAGTTCGCCGCGCACGGCGCGGGGACGCACGGCGGTCCTGGCACCAAGGGGGGCGTGACGACGATGAGCTCCGCCGAGGAGCTCTTCGTCGCCGGCCGCATCCGCGTCGGCTGCCTCTCCCCGATCCGACAGGAGGACGGCTGGGAGGAGTGCGGCGGCGACGAGGAGGAGGAGCAGGAGCGGGAGCGGGACGACGGACGCTCGCCGCGGGCTACTCGCCGGGCTAAGTCCGCCTCCCCGACGCGGAGCCCCAGGGCCGACAGGGGTGCCGCCACCGAGCCGTCCGACCCCTTCGCGTCCGCCTCCTCGTCGTCTTCCTCCTCGTCCTCGGCGAAGAACATTCGACGGCGGATATCGCTGCGGGACCTCCTCAGCCGCACGGGCGTCGACTGCGCGGGGTCGGATCAGTCATCATCAGGCACCGCCGAGGTCACCAGCAGGTTGGGTTTCTGGCCGCCGTCCCTCTGGCCGTCGCGCTCGTCCAAGAAGTCGCCGCTGCTGTCCTGCCCAGGCCCAGCGCCACAGCCGGCGCGGCGCCGCTCCACCTCCTCGGACAAGGGCGCGGCGGCGCCGGCGACGAAGAGGGCGCCTGGCGGCGGCAGTGCTCGGCGCACCACGTCGCTGCCGTACCGGCAGGGCCTGGTTCTCGGATGCCTGGGCTTCGGGGCCCGGGGCTACGGGCTCGCCAAGTCCATGCATCCCCTGCCATCCCGCTGAATACCAAAACCTAGCAGATGAACACAAGGTGCGTTTAGGCCAGAAATCACGCCATGATTATGCCTCATCCCACGGCATTTTCCGACTACACTGCTTGTCTTGTTATAAAAAAAAAAACACCCTACACTGTTTGTCTGCTTATCTATTACTATGAGACAGAAAACAAGTATGAAATTTTCTTCAGATTTTGTTCTCTTTCATGGTATGTTATATATGGAGTATAAGTGTTTTTTCATTTTAGGTCCCGTTCGCTTAACTAAAAAACAAGTTAAATCACTGTTCCGGCTAAAAAAAAAGAAGCTGAAAAGTATGGATTATAAGAGAAGCGAACAGAGCCTTAATGGAAACAAATGCTACAGCTATATATATTTGTCTGGCGTACATTGGTGATCCCCGAGAAACCCCATTTGTTCTTGCTTTTTTATCTGATAAAAAATCAGAACCCTTAACTGATTGATTCGTTGGTAATTAAGCGAGATGACCTATATATAACAACTTTGTGGATAATTTAGGTTATGATACAAATAATCTACTGACTTATCTAATAGACTAGCATCCATCCCACAAATGGCGATCAGAAAGTAGTTGAAACGTGGAGGAGAAAGGTTCAGAAACTCCGTATCTATATTCTATAACCAATTAGACCAGTTCCAGACTTCCTATTGTGTACAGTAGTCATGAAAAGTCAAGGTGAAAGGCACACCCTGAACCTTCTCGAACCATTAAAAAAAACCTGTTACAGGACTGGGTACCGGCCAAGTGCAGGACTTTAAGCTAATGAGTACAAAAGAGACATTTTTGTTCTCTCTTGAATTTGTTCTTGTTGCACTCAGGTGAAAGATGAGATGTCGCAGTCAAAAGATTACACTTTAATAGGTAAAAGAAAGCAATATGCCACCAATACATCCACTCTGTTATGCAAGCGGCTCTGAATGATGGTGTTCAAACTTCAAAGCATCTCTATAGGAATCATTCGTCATAACTCGGTATCATCGATATTTAATTTCCTAAGAATTTGAGGAAAATGCTTGGCAACTGAAAATATGTTCAGAGATAACAAAAGAACAATGTTTTGCAATTTGCACTGGTTTAGGTATTCCAAATATTGAGAATCCAAATAGGAAGAGCCATTTTCACAGCTCTCCACACCAATCTAGCTAACACTAGCAGCCATTGATCTTAGCGCTGTGCAAACAATGCTCTTGAACTTACAAGAAACCCCAACCACCAAGCAAAGCTTCACCAGCATGCCACCGAGTAGACATACAGTAGATTCAGGTACGCATTTGCATAATCATGCACACAAAAATTTAAATCTCAAGCCTTAAACCCAATAATGAACTGAATTGATGGTTTCTGGTTGACTAAGGTGGATCTTGCAGACATAACATCAAAGCTTGAATTTTCAGATGGGGCATGTAACTAGCACATTAGAACTTTCCTCTCATCAAGCTGCATGGCCATTGTAGCAACTTCTCAGGGTCCAAATGCAAGTGACAGCAACATAACAAGCTTAGGTTTGGATTGCCTAAAAGTAGAAAAGAACATACATTCTTCAACTACATGATATACTTGTCTTCGTAGTATGTTGCTTAGGTTAATACTCCTACTACTAATAGGAGTCCAATACTGACAAGTAACAGAGTACTGGGGTGAGTGAAGGGACATTAGAGGCGAATCATATCAATTTCAAACAAGCTTCAGTTGGCCAAAGGTCCTCCATGCGATGATGACCTCTACAGGAACATGTGCTTGAACTTGTCACTCGCCAGCTTGCACAATTGATCAAAAGGCTTGGGATCTGCCAGATAAACATGGTGAAAAAAATCAATGGTGTTATGGATATAGGGGGAAATAAGTATGGATGCTGTGTAATTAAAGCTGTCACTGCAAGGCACGGCATAGAAGAGAGGCCTAGTACAAGAAATTTATCTGCATCTCAAGTGTAAAAAGAATATAGCTACAGAACTTTAAGCCATAACAAGCTCCTCTCATTGTCAATGGAGGATAGCACGATTAAAGCCCCTGCCAGATAACATGTTTCTCATCCTGAAACGCATTCTAAGATCACGGCTGATCTCAGAGGCATACTTATCGCCATCTGGGGATAGAACAAAACCGTGTAAGTGTGGCTAGGAGACATGAAAAAATAAATATGATGCACATTCCTTGTAACAATGGGAGTCAATTTTGCTGTAGTTCAAGGAGCACCCAACATCTAACTATAAATCCAATTCCTAAATGTCCAAATACTAACTGCAGTTTAAAAAATTGGCTCTCTCTCTCTCTCCCTCCCTCTGTCTTAATCTGTAATTTGTGTAAACAGGAAAATCACCTAGGCTGCTTTGATGTTCTAAGAAAATAAGATCAAGTTCCAAATGGAAAACAGATATTTGCTCATCCGATTAGGAAAAACCCAGGCACTACCTTATAGGCTGACAAGTTCAGAAAAGAAGGGGACAAAGATTATTTCTTGTTTATTTGCTCGGTTGCTCCTCAATGTTCAGAGGTTAAGGTCAGGGGCCAAGCAAAATAATACCACAAGGGAGGGCAAAATAGTAGCCGATGGCTCATTAGGAGGGTGAAACTCAAAATTTTCAATGATTTTGCATGGTTAAATTGGTGTACATCAGGGGCGTGGGTATACTACAATCTTCTTATGACATGGAATGAAATAAGAGCTGGCAAGCTTGGATGTGGGAAAGTTTAAACCATGGTATGGTAGCACTCAGAATATACAAACAGTTCATACTATTGCAATCAAAGGGCCAAAGGCATTTGAAATCTCACCAAAGTTGGGACCAAAATCTGTGCAAACTTCAGCACGGATGGTCTGGTTGTTTTCAGCGATTCCATAAACCTCCATAAAGTGTGATACAGGAACATCCATGGCGGTTTTGATACTCAACTGATGCCCATCGCTGGACTGCCCGACAACCACTCCACCTTCATTGCGTTGGACTTGAACAACCGTGCGCACTCTTCGCCCAACAAACATGTTCAGAATCTCTGCATTGACTAGTGCTGCAGGGCTTGACGTGTCCATCACTGCAAAGTGGAGATTCAGAATTTCAGATCACTCAATGCAATTCAGTAGAATCATCTAGCAAACAGTGAAGCAAATAAATTGCAGACATCTTCTAGTCACTATCACAAAAAACACCATATCAAAGATTGCAGTGTGATGAATAAGTGCTTGGAGAGGATCTCTACTGCAAAACATGTACTAGAGTTTTGGCTGACAATGTGACCTATGAGTGGGTTACAATATACATTCAGTCTGAGATAATCATTTTGGGCATTATGGATGTGATATACCATAAAATTTGTAATGCCTATAAATTCTAAAGAAACAGCCTTCAGAATTTCTGCTAACATTATTACTGTGAAATGACTGCAAGACATTTTGTACAGGAACACATGCTTGTCAAAGTACAGTAGGTAGCCTAGGAAAAAGAATGTAAGCCGCATAATGAGTAAGCATATACAATCTGCTGCTGAGTATCAAAGTCGCATGTACTGTGCACGCCTAAGATGACATTAGAACACTATCTAAAGACAGTTTCTCCATACCCCACAGATTAGGATCACAAACAGAAATCCGAGGCACCGATTTGTAGATCTCGATTAAAAAAATCCCAGGCAGCAAACTATACAGAGCCTGAGGAGTTCCAATTTTTTGACAACCTGCGCTCACCCATTGATGGTCCAATTCGCGCCGCTTGGCTTCTCTACGCCCAACCCCGCTCCCACCTATTCCTTCCGCGGGAATGGCTGCGCCAATCATTAGATCGGGATTTGGGCTAGGGATTCTCTCCCCGGGTCATGGAATCGGGGAGCAGCAAGGCTAGGCCATGGAGACAAAACCCTAGCAGAACTGGGGCGCCTGAAGAAATCACGGTCTCGATCCCGCCCGCAGATCCCCGCAGCTACTACCACAAATCAGACAGGGAAGAAGATCGAGCATTTCGGCCAGACTTACCGTCCTTGAGGCGGCGAACGGATGAAGCGGACTCCTCTCGCGGGCGGCGACGGCGGAGTGGGCTGGGCTCTGACCGAACGGAAGAGACGGGAGAGGAAAGAGGCGGCGCTGGCGTGGGGTTTTGCGGGGGGACCTGAATGCCTGGATATATTCCCCGTCGAGTTGCAAAATCGCCGAAGGAGATATTACCGGAGTGCCCTTGTGAAATGCGGATGGCGCCAAACGCACTGCTAATCCGTAATTGCCGCACACTTTTGGCGCCAAAACCTTTTTCTCCGTCTTTCATTTCAACTATCCCTCTTGTCTTCTTTTGGAGTGGATATACTAGGAAGGAAATATATCAAAGTCATGGTAGAGCATCTCCAAGAGTTCTAAAACCTACTTCCAATCTTGATTTATTTTTATAAGATTGAAAATAACGCTCTCCAACAACTCCCTGTCTCAACTCCTAATTTTTTGCACATGGAAAAATCGACCCAACCATGTGAAAATGTACGCACACGTATCAGTCGGACAATCTGGAAGTGGAAAGATGTGGAGAAATAAAAAGAAGGACATGATTCATAATACAAGGGTACAAGAGAAAAACAAAACATAAAATGATTGGTGTAATTTAAAAAAAAATCTGAGATTCCTGATGCATGCGAATTTCATACAGATTTCTATATTTTAGGAGGCGAGATTTTGAAAATCATTGGAGGAACCCCAACAAATATGCTTCAACTTTTTTAGCCACATGAAAAACTCATTGATTTACCAACTGTTTTTTAGGAACTATTGAAGATGCTCTTACACAAGCGTATTAATTTAAGTATCATTGGAATGACCGGTATATCTCATACTAATAGATAAACTGATATATAAAAGTGACTTTATTCCATAGTAGTCTCAATTTTCCAGAATGATATATACTAGTATGATGTTACATCCTCTTAAAATAGGTCAATAAACTATGGAAATCGGGGGAGATAATGGTGCCTAGACGCCTAGTGTTGGAACGCATATAATGTAACTATTGTTATGGCAGCAAAACTTAGTTACAAGCTAGAAGGGTTTCCGTAATGTCTCACAATGTTAAGTTGAAAACCTCGAAGACCACTTGATATCAAAACTAAAGTTTAGTCACCTAAAGTTTTTTTATATGTAGTTATCTATAATTTAGTCCTGGACCATCCAAACAGATGACTAATAGATGGATTTTTTTAGCGAGGCGCGAACCAAATGATTTTTGATTAAGAGGGGCCGAACAAATATGATCGTATTTTTTAGTGTGATAAAACATACATAATTATTTGTTTCGAGAATTTTTAAAAACTTTTACACTATTTATAACAAAAATCATAATATTTTAATAAAAATGATTGAAAATTTATATTTTTTGTGCTATAAATTCAAATATTTATATAAGTATTCAATACAATCTACTGTGCTGCTGTCTCCCCCTGGTTCCGCCACTGCTTTTTAGTCCACACTCTAAGTGACAACTAGCTCACTAGTTGGTAAAGACAAGCTAAATTAAACTAATAGGTATTAGTCTAATTGACATGTTAGTGGTCCTTTAGTTTGTTCTTGGAGATCAAATTACTGTAGAAATATCCTTGAAATCAAATGCAAATGATGCTTTACACCCCTAGTATATGTCATAAACCATTACGGGCTATAAGTCTATATCATAAGACGACCTTGGCAGTTTCAAACGTGTCAATAGTCATATATCGTACCTATGTCCTGCGATTTTCCTTTTATATATTACATATGTGGCCATTGGACAAAAACCTAACTCCCAGTGATATATCATGTATTCATGTTAAAACAACAAACAACGCTATTGAGGATGGAAATGGTAAATGGGCAAATTGGTGCACTGCTCCCAGAGGCGGATCTATGTCGGGTAAAGGGGTGCGGACGCACTCATGGAAAAACAAAAAAAAACAGTTATGACCAAATTTTCATTGTATACACACAGCTCTATGCTAAAAATCTATACACTCACATGGCAAGCACACCTCCTTGCATTTGATCTAGTTCCACCCCTAACTGCACCCCCATGCATAGTACTCATGTGTTCCTTTCGCTGAAATTGGGCGTGCACTTGTTTTAACATGGCAGTTCTAATGGTTTGGGAAAAATTCCAGTAAAATACGGATAGGAACTTTATAACACAAGTACTTGGCATTACCGTATTTGCTAGAGGAGATCTGAAAACAGTCGTTCCTAGAACTAGAACAGTGATTCTAGTGTTAGTATAGCTGTTCCTTAATTTGTTCTTGGAGACTAAATTCCATTTGAAACATGCTTGGAGAGATGACACTCAGAAAACAGAGCAAGGAAAAATTTTCCTCTGTAAATCCTGGTTTTAGCCTGATTCCTCCTTTTGCCACTCTGTACTCTCTCCAGTTCCATTTCATTTCAGCAGAAATGTCAAAATCCTGTTTGCCAAAGGTTCTGGTACGATTGCTACTTTAATTTCATCTCCCTATGGAAAATAATAATTGAAACAAAAAACCTACAAGAACTACCGGACAGTCAAACATGGAACAGAGAACAAGCTGTCGTGCAGCTGTATTTATTCGATCACGCTCACGCCCACACGAGGATCGCGGCGGCCGCGCTCATCAGCAGCAGCGGCACCGCTGCCAGATTGTTGACGGACCGGCGGGCGCCGTCGTCCCCGTGGCCGTAGAAGTACCCGTCGCCATAGTTGCCGTCGGCTCCAACTCCGATGCGCTGCAGCACGTCGAAGTCGCCCCGGAGGCCCGTGGCCGCACCCGCGGTCGAGCGCGAAGCGGACGTCGGCGGCGGAGGCGCCGTTGTAGAAGCGGAAGTTGGCCATGATGCCGTCGACGCAGCGGAGCACGAGCTCCGTCTCCGCCAGGCACGGCCCGCCGCAGAAGGCGTCGGCCGACCCCGGCGGCACGTCCAGCGCGCCCTCAGGGCCCAGCCGGAACGAGCCCTGGCACCCGCTGTAGATCTTGGCACGCAGTTTGGCAAGAACGACGTTCAGTGTGCACGCCATATGATCATTATTACAAGTGAAAGCTCAATTCTAATAAGAGACGAGTACAAGTGGGAGATGATCGATCTGTCATATATATACTCCTATATACACACTTACGTAGCGATGGTTGAAGCAGAATAGGGCTCTTCCGACGATATCCACCGTGTCTGTCTTCTGGCCATGGAACGCTGCTGCTGCTGCTCCTCCTCCAGCATCTACATGAGTTCCGCACGTACAAATGATGAACAAATGAACAGTGACGGCGCACGTGCGTACCAGACACAGCGATGTAGTGATATGATGCAGATGCAGAGATGCAGTGCTCCGTGTGCCTGTGTGCCGGCATGCACGCAGGTCGACTAGTAGAAAGAAAGAAAAAAACAAACGAGTAGAAGAAAACAAAAGAGAAGATCGAGAGCATGACGAAGAAACGGGGACCTGAGCTGCAGCAAGCAGGCATCATCATGATCAGGAAGCAGCAGGAGATGCGCGCCACTGCCAGGATCGGAAATGGCGGCCTGCTGCAAACGGACGCCATAGTTCCTGACAGACTCGATCTCTGTCAAGCTATCGACGACGTCGTCGGCGCCGTATGTACGAGGAAGAACAACTTTAATACAGCAAGAGCGATGAGGTATATATGTAAGCTTGCTTGCAGCAGCGGCCCGGTCGACGATGCGTGAATGCATATGCGTGATCGTTTCCTCAACCTGCTAAGTGCTAAGCCTCCGCTCCGGTTGCGTTCGTTTTCGTTTTCTTAGGCAGGCCAACTAAACCTGACCTGACTAGAGCGCATGAGAGGTACAAGCAGGCTCCTCACGAGGAATCCAAGACCATCTTTTTTTTTTTTGACAAACAATCCAAGATCATCTTTTGTTTCTCGCTGCCTTCTCCCCACGTCCCTTTCGCTAGCTGCAACGATATAAAGGTCGTTCCTTGACACAGATTGATTGGATCATCTCTCTTTTGTATTCTTTTTCTTTTCTGTTTATTCTCCCTGAAATAATAACATGTTGCTTCGTCGGTCCCGATTGATTTTGTGCATGTGTTGTTTTTATTTCAGCTAGTGGATAGCTTGTTAGATGGGCGGTGAGGTTAGGGTCTGGTGGCTCGAGAGGAACCTACCCATGGCCATGCACGCCTGACTGCCTCCACGTTCGTTTTCTCGGGGGTAGAAACCAGAAAGGGACGGAAGCCAAGATCCCCGGCCAGGTTCACTAGAGCACGGAATAGCTAGTAACCATCAGTCAGTCAGTGGCTCACGCAAACGAGATTCACCGTCCGCTGGGCTAACTACGACAATCTCACATTCTCACCAAAGTTGGCCAGTGTTTTTCTTAATTAGCCCGTGGTCCTCTGGTGTTTCTTCGACCAAGCGTGCATATACAGCAACACATGCAACGGTGGATCGATGGCCACTGGCAGTCATCAGAACCCAGAAGATACGACACGCACGGCTCCACTAATCAGCTAACGGCGGTCAATTCTACAGCACTTCGCGACTTTCCTTTTTTTTTAAAAAAAAATTTGTTTCCACAACTTTCTTTTCATAGAAAGTTACAAAATTATACACACAACTTTTACGCATAATATTTTATGAGACATAATTTATTAACATAACTTAGTCAATATATTTTTAATAATATATATAGACAATTTATCATGATAATTTTTCTATATAATAACTTTTAAAGCCTAACTTTTGTTTATAACTACCGGCGGGCAAATTTATCCATAACAATTTCTCAATATGTTTATAATTTTTTATTTTTCAAAAGTTACAAAGTTATACGCACAAATTATTTGCATAACTTTTTACAGAATAACTTATCATGACAATTTGCCATCGTAATTTTTTTTTACTTTTCTTTCTTAGGAATAATAATTTTTAGAAAATTTTACTTTTAGAAAATCACAAAGCTATGCTCACAACTTATGTGCATAAATTTTCACGTGACAAATTATCACCATTACTTCTTATCATAACTTTTGTAGTTTTATGGTCATAAGATTCAATTAGATCGGAAGAAGAGGAAAAGTGAAAAAAAGAGAGAGAAAATGTTGAAAAAAAAACAGATAGTAACGTACAAAAAAAGTAAAGAAAAAATAGCAACACGCTCGTCTGTCCGTGACTCTTGCCCGGGCGCGGCTCCATAGGAGCAGGCCCTATCTCTCTCATAAACAAAAAAAAATCCCCACTCCCCCGTATGCTTATCCGCTTGACCCCGAAACAATGTGGTCGCTCATCCGTCCGCCCTCTTTCCCCACCACGCGCTCGTCGGGCTACCCACGCCATGCCCTTCCCCCCATCATCGGCCGCACCGCCTGCCCTCGCTCCCTGCGTAGCTCATCTGAGCCCCAATCACCTGTGTCGCTCGCTCCCTCGCTGTCCGTCCGTCGCCCATTGTCGTCAGGCGTGCCATTGACCCCGCCATGGCCGCTAGGGCGCACGTGCCGTGGTGCCTCAGGTCTTTCCCGACCAAGCCAAAGGCACCCACGAGCGTAGCCGGTGCTGGTGGTGCTCGCCGCCGCCGCTCGTCGCCGGATCCTACCTCCATGGCTAGAATCAACCGGCTGTAGGGTCGAGATGACAGACTAGAGGGGGGCGAATTGTTCTTTATAAAATTAACCGCGTCGGCTAACAGAAATAAATACGGAATTAAAACTAACGGTCTAGCCAAGACTACACCCCTCTATCTAAGTTCTCTAGCACCTAACAAAGATACTAATTAAGCAACTAATGTGCTAGACTAGCTAGAGCTCATCTAACCAATTCTAGAAGCAATGTCATACAAACCTATGCAGCTAGTACTGTGACAGAACCGCCCAATTTATACAAGATCAAGTATGGTTGTCCCCGCTAACACGTTGACACACCCATACTTTCACTCATATAAACCCGGTAGTCCGCCGAGTGTCCCGAAAGACCTCGGTAAATCAACATCACAACCAAGATCGCGTGATTAAGCAAATACACATCACATACATCGGGTTGCAGCGGAAATAATGTTACAAAGGGTTTAACAAATAATAGTACAAATTTGGGTTTCAAAACCGCTTAGTGAAAACAACATAGCTTTCAAATGATTACATTAATATAAGTTCCAAATATATTGCTAGCATAAGTGACATCATCCGACAAAAGCATATAGATGAGAAGTAAATATAGAATCACCGAGCCCACCGGTGGTTAGCCACCATCATCAACAGTCGAGAACTTCACCGCAACAAGGTGGGATAAACCACGAGTACTCGAATGTACTCACCCGCACTTACCCGTCGGAAACCAAAACAAATGACACCAAGGATCATGCAAGGCTTTCTTTAGTGGGCTAGGTCTGACTTGTTTGCGAAAAGCATAAGCTATCATGAAGAAACCATTTTAAATACTTTGCATCATCTTTATTATGACCTATCCATCTAGGTAAGCACTTGTACTATAGCAATCACTTGATTAACCAATAACATCCGATTACCAATTTAGATTTAGCTTATCCCATACCATCCAGATAACCATCATTGTTCCATAATAATTACTACGATGCAAGAATCTCGAGTCAAGTGCTCACTATCCGGGAGCGATGGCGATTCGAATCGATTCCTAACCAAATTTGGTGATTTATTCCTTACACAAACCTCACTCACCCGCTAAAGTGAGATATTGATCACCGAGTCAACTTTCCGGTATCTCGAGTTTGCCAGAACCACATGTACCGGGGCCGACCGATTGCACTTTGGTCTTATCATCCCGCCCGTGTCCTACCACACCTGCTTCCCGCACGGTCTGGCTGCGGGCAATCTACTCGGCCCGAAAATCTCCCGGCTTCATGGGTCGGAAGGTACTTTATCCGCCAGCTAAATGTAAGGCATCGTTCAACATGACTCGAGGCCCAACAACGGTCGGTCCTTAATCGACACAGACGGAAACTAACAGCAGACCCGTAACCCCATCTGTCGCTTGCCTCCAACTTTTCCGCCCGGTCTCAATTATTCATCACACATGGTTACTTCCAGGATATCATTCTTTCCATAGCTAAATTCTTCCAAAGAACCACCTATAATGTAGGTGATCGGATATCACCGATCGCTACCGGTCTAAGCAAGGCTAAGCGATTTATTCGATCCCCGACCTAACAGGGTAAAAAGGTAATAAGGTAGGCAAGGATAGTAATAAATGCATCAACGGTTTCGATCAACTCCTACAACTTAATGCAACAATATATAACTCATATATAGAAAGAATTGCTTTTATAAATTAGGAGACTTATAATGCTCCGGGGCTTGCCTGGGATCCGCCACAAGTCAGTTCAGTTAGCTTGCACCGTCCTGGTGACATCTCAGATCCTAGCACTCGCTTAGTCCTTTCATCTTCGGGACAGATCTATCAAACACCGTCTTTGGGTTTGGCTCCAACATCACGTCCTTCACGTGGTTCATCTAGCGTACCTAGATGAGATGCAATATGCAAGTGCATAAATATGAAGAATAGTACCATGAGACACATCACAAAATAGCAAGCAAGACAAGCATAGTTTACACTAACACACTTAAGTACTTTGCGATGCTTAACTTAAACATCACACAATCTATCATGCTAAGATGGCAAAGAAGACGACAACACCAATCATGACACAAGTTTTCCCAGATCTCAAGTTGTCTAACTCAGTCATCATTCAAGGCATACGTCACACTTAACAATATACAAGCAAGCACTATAATTGGAATCTGCCAATTTCTGGACATGCAAACAGCAGCTACAAGATTTAGCTATAACTGGAGTTACACAAATCCAAATGACTTGCAAGAAGACATTATGGAAAGCTTATGAAATTCTATACAATTCATATTCAATCATCTTAGCATGATTCTCAAGTTAACTAAGTCAAATATATCCATTTACAGAAACTGGTCCACAATTGACAGAAAACAGCCATTTCTGAAACCCAACTTTAAACAGCTGTAACTCTTAAACTACTTGGCCAAATGACACCAAATTTTAATAGAAGCTAGATACATGA